AGTTGTCAAACGGTGCTTCCATGTTTTCCATAATGGTCTAGCTTCAATTGAATCATGATTTCAACTATTGAAGATAAAAACTGTTTTTCTTTTCTTTTTCCACATTTTGTTTTATTAATTGATTTTCTTGAAAATATGAATAGAAAAATAAAAAAATGGTTTCTATATTTCATGAATATGGGAAATTCTATGCAATTGATTGTACCATTTTATTTTTGTAATATACAAGGTCAAATGAAAGAAAACATTAGGACACGAAAAAAACTTTGATACTAGTAGACAATCATTAATTTTCCATTGAAGTAAAAAAAGGTAAAAACAAAACAAAACAACCAAACATCAATCTATTCTTGAGTGCTATTAGAGTTATGAGGGCGGTTATGACTTCCCGGTCGCCTACACCGTGGAAGGGTTCTTCTAGAGGTACTTGAAACTGAAATTGGATTAGAGGTGGCCTCAGTGACCTGAGAGTGTGACCACAGTGCCCAGGGGATAACTCCTTGTGGTCGTCCACACATGACCTTTTTATGAGTAATTTCCGCGTTGAGATCTTGCAGCCAGGAATGGATATCCGTGGGATCGGGCGAGGTGTGATCGAAACTCACTCCCTGAATTCCACTGCTAGCCACTATCCATCTTTACTTATGGTGCTTGTGAATTAAGGTAATTACGAGGCAATATGCACAGGATGTCAATAAATGACTGATCAATTGCAGTGCTAAACATTGATGGGAAGACTCAAGTTACGAAATGTGCTCAAAAATGTGCTTATTTTGTACTGTCTTGTTGTTCTTACATCATTTGCATTTATTTAATAGTGCGAAGAAATGAGAAAATGAGTTTTATTGAAATCACAATCCGATATAAGTTAGAAAACCCTTGAAAACATGCAAACACTGGATGGCTGTTTTGTCACACTTGTAATGCGATCTTCTCAAAACAAGCAGCTTTTCTCAGATTATTGTTTTCACCAAATATATTAATGATGTAAACTACCGAGGAGTCCTGAATTAGGATAAAAACAACCGAGTTTTTTTCACAATAGTTCAACTCATTTAATTAATTCCTAGAATCTTGATTCAAAATATCTGAGGACATAATCCACAAGTCTAACAAATATTACGTCATTTCATTGTTCTCTTTGGTTGATTGAAAGATTTCTATCGTTTCTTGAATTACAGTAACCTATTTATGTCATTTAATCTAGACTCTTACTCAACTGTACAAATGTTGTACTACAATCTCAGATTCTAGTTCAGATTCAAATAAAAAGTCCAACATTTTTATGATAACTGATAACAGAATACATAAGAGGAAACAAGTATCAGAGCAAATGGTATTATTTAGCCCTTTATCTGTTCTTTGAAGAAGAAGAAACAAGACATATTTAGTCTAAAATGTATTCAAGGGATGAACAATATATGATAAAATGTCGTAGTGTGATATGACGACAGATATAAGTAGTATGTGACACCAGTTGAAAGTAGAATACTTGGCAGTAGAAGATTGAGAAGCTCGAATAGAAGAGAACAAGAACAGTGAATGATTGATGTGAGAATGAAGGAACAACAAAGTATGAGACAATTGATGAACATTTTTTCAATGAAGTATTGGACGTACTTACTCACTTACTTACACTTGTTACACCCAGTGGAGCATAAGCCGCCAACCAGCATTGTCCAACCAACTCTGCCCACTTTTCTAGTTCTATTCAATTGTTGTTCATTCTTCTCATGTCTATCTCCATTTCCCGGTGTAATGTGTTCTTTGGTCATCCTCTTTTCCTTTGGCCTTGAGGATTCCATGTGAGGGCTTGTCTTGTGACGCAGTTGGGTGCTTTCCTCAATGTGTGTCCTATCCACTTCCAGCGCTTCTTCCTGATTTCTTCCTCCGCTGGGATCTGATTTGTTCTCTCCCACAGTAGGTTGTTGCTAATAGTGTCCGGCCAACGGATCCGAATTATTTTGCGTGGGCGACTGTTAATAAACACTTGTATCTTCTGGATGATGGCTTTCGTTACTCTCCAAGTTTCTGCCTTATACAGTAGAACTGTCTTGACATTTTTATTGAAAGTTCTGACCTTGGTGTTGGTTGACAGATAGTTGTATAGAGTTCCAGATGTTCTTCAGTTGTAAATATGCTTGCTCTTGCTTTGCCAATCGGCGCCTTCACATCTGTATCAGATTCACTGTATTCACCAATGATATTGTCGAGATATGTAGAGCTTTCTTACATCTTTCGAAGCTTCTACAATGATATAAATATAAACGATTTCTTTCGATATTACACATTATTAATGCTTTAGCATAGAATAAAATCAAAAAATCACAGGATGATTTTTGTTTAGTATTATTTTCATATCCAATTCATGTCATAACTGTCCAGTTTACCATTCATATTCATTCAGTTTGATTCTATTTCAGCAGACGATACGTTTGTTTTTTCCAGTTTGACAACTATTCAGTATACTACTAGGTGTACTAATAAAATATTGTACTCATTTAATAGAATGTATAACACGAGTTTTGTTGTCATATCTATTTCGGTTTTTCTCCTTAATTCAGTTATAGGTATGATATTCATAGACTTTGATAGGGTTTTATTCTCTGTTCTCTGAGCTCAGAGAATAAAACTCCATTAAAATCATCCACCATCCAGCTAGAACACCTTCTCCACCAAATCAAATTCATAGACTTATTATCAAACATGGTTAAAATAGTTATATAAATGAGTAGATTTGGTTAACTATCAGTATAGAGTTGTGGAGATTCTTAAGTTTTTTCTTGATTGAGATCATGAACTGATTGATGTTAGACCACCATTGAAAACCTGAAAGCACTGGACAGCCGTTTCATCCTATTATGGGACTCCTCCTTGACAGTGCGCATCCACAACCCCGCTCGCGGGATTCGAACCCACGGCCCTGATTTGGTTAAAATGGGAAATAAGATCTTCATCTACCTTCAACATTTTTTCATCTTCCTTGTGTTGTGTAAATCTTACTTTAAAGATTACTGATAAGAGATTCATTGAATATTGTAAAGTTTCTACATTTGTATTGTTTTCATACTTATTACATGTAACTAAATCAGTTATATTCACTGTTTGTTATTTTTATTGAATGGTTCAATTGTATGGAAATTCCAATTAATCCTGGAGTTATGGCCAGCAGTAGGTGGAGGTGCTTGAACTATAGAATCAGTGTATATGAAGAATTATGGTCTACTATGATATTAGTACTGCTATAATAATAGACCTTATCCTACAATTGTAGATTTGTCATGATATAACTGCCTAATCTATAAGATCTTACGTGGAAGTCACATCATCGTCTACACCAACTCACTACATCGTAACAATTACCAATACATGATAGAGAACAAACTTAGGTTATAGGTAGAACAATATATTTAATATGAATGAAAGATAAAAGGTGACATTCAGCAGGGGCCACGCATGCGTGGGCGAGCCATGCCATACGATCAACTCCCATTAATTCAATACATTCTTCCCGCCCTCTTCATCGTTGGATTTTTCTCCGTGTTAAATGTTGAATGTCTATTTCCCACATTGTCTCGTATTAGGGCCCAATGCCACTACATATACTATAAAACTCAAGCCTAGTATCTATCACCTAAAAAGCCTATTGAGTTATCCACTGAGCAACTGATTTCAGCTAGCAACTGGCTTGTCATATGTGTGTCATTTTTGTTTGCATACGTTCATGTATTTCTGTTGTTGTTGTTACGGACTACAATTGATAAGTCTTTTTTGTCATATTTTACGTCCTATGTGTTGGAGTTGTTAGATCCCACAGAACTCACTTGGGAAAAGACCTAATTTCGTAATTTTATTTTGAAAATTTGAATTTCTTTGTGTTCGCGCCAAAAGCGCTCATTTCAACTTCAGGTCGTATTTCCCACTCGAGAGAATCTTTAATGCTATTGGTCTGTTGTGTCTTTTAGTATACTATTTTGTAACGCTTCCCAAGGATGGTTTTGTGCTGTATATTAAGTTTTGATTTGTGTGTTATTATTACTCGTGCTTTTGGCGTTTTTATGAAATATACTTCCCCGTTCGGACTTCGACTTTTCTCTCTAGTTAGCGGTGACGGGATGCAATAGAATAGCTATTTTATTGATCTTTGGTCATTAAGTCTTTGTTCCGTTTGCAGTCTAAGTGAACTTGTAATCGCTTCAATTATAGAACTATATGAACTCTCTCGATATTCATATTCATTCTTATCGCAGTTGGGATTCAGGTATAGTCATCTGGCAATTCCTAAATAGAACACAGCGCACTTCCTCTATTCTAATACTAGAAACTATTCTAACTGTACTTATAAACTTATGACAATTTGAATCAAATGGAAGTATATTAATAGAGATTAATTAATTGTGGTTTATAACATCAACAATAGATAGATACCAACACCCATAAAATGAATAGAAGTTTATTTTTGGAATTATCACTAAAATATGTCTATTTCATCAATCATGTTACAATCACAATTGATTGATCACTGGGTGGTGATCAATGTCGTGGGTGTCAAGTCCTTATTTAGTGCAGATCGAATGCTATTGACCGTGTTGCAATGCGGCCACCAGTTTAGGTGACCTGACACTGCATGCACTATATATTAAGATTAGATGGTGGTTGGAGGTAGTCGACAGGAAACCCGAGTCCAGGGTTTCCTGTCGACTACCTCCAACCACCATCTAATCATGTTACAATGTTCAATCTATCTAATGATCACATTCAACATTATTCTATTAGACCAATATAAAAAGATAAGTATATATTACATAATAATTATAAGATAACAATACATTCTATCACGAATCATTTCTTAAATATGATTTGTTTCTATCAGTAAACACCTATTTGATAACACCTGAGTAAACATTTCATTGTTTACATTATCATAATGCCTGTTATTTTATTTCTCTTTCTTTCCCCCCCTCTCTCTCGCTCCCTCGTAACCAAATTTTTTCATCTAGGTTGTCAACGGTTATTGGATTTTTGGAACAATGATCTGTGATATCTTCATTATGTTCGATGTGTTATTCTGTACTGCATCAATACTCAATTTAGTAGCCATTTGTTTGGATAGGTAAATTAACTGTTGTCTTCTTTTTCTTAATCATCTCTAATATTTTTCTGATTATAAATTTAACTATATCTAATCATTGTAATGAAAGTCTTATGATTGTTTTCATCGCTATTTCATCCGTGCTACATATATATGTTTGTGTGTGTTTTAAGGAGTGATTTCACTGACGGTAATGGTGGATGTGTCGTTCAATTTCGTGGATTGGTTGAAGTTAAACTTTCACACCGTTGGATGCCGGTCAGCTTAGTGGTTTAGAGGTTAGGCGATCGCACACGAGACCGATAGATCCTGGGTTCAGATCACACGAGGCGGGATCGTGGATGCACACTACTGAGGAGCCCCATAATAGGACGACCGGACCAATGACGCATAAAACAATTGCAAGCAGTCCAAAGTCTTTATCGGTCCTGCTTCCTGCCTAGCCTAACCTGTTAATTCTAGAACACCGATCTCAGCCTCTGCGATATGAACGATTTATTTCAAACATACTGGGATTATGTGCATACCAAACAGACAACATCGTACCATAAAATAGAAAATGACATTTGTACAAAATCTAGCCCAAAGTGGCTGCGAATATGGGAGACAGTGATTGGTAGACAAGGCATAACTCAAGACCGGTAAATCGTATAATAATAGTCTATGAGTCAAAATAAAGCTTATATCAAGAGAAACATGAACATGAATAGTTTATTTACTTAATAATTATACCATAAAAATATACGTATAGTATTAGTCCAGAAATAGATTCCAACAGTTACTATTCATTATTCTCATCGGAATATAACAGTGGTGTATGCTACTTATGTCGACAGACTTGAGTAGTATATAACACTAATCGAAGTAGACAACCTATCAGCATTAGTCTATAAAAGTTATCTTAAATAAATCAGGAATGGTCATAGGAATGAATTGTGACTTGAAAGAAACATACTGAATGTAAAGAACAAAAGATCAAAATTTGGTTCACATATTTTACCAAGAGATTCAGTAAATTGATCGTCCACCCCAAAGTTCCCATCCATTACAATTTCATGATCATTTTATGAAGAGTTTTCATTCAGATTACTACTCTTAACAACAACAACAAAAAAGATTCAACTAAACGAAACACACACACACACATACCAATAAATACTAATTGAGTGATTCACTATTTGTTGTTGTTTTTCTTGTGTTCATTTTCATTTTAATGCAAATCAACAAAAAAGCAAGAAAAGGAACGAGAAAATAAATGGATTGGATGTTACCGTGATGAATATCTTGACTATTGACTTTTGTTTGTCTTGTCTCATTCTCAGTATAGGGGTTGTGGAGATTAGTAAGTTTCTGATTGAGATCATGAACCGATTAATGTTAGAACATCATTAAAAACCTGGAAGCACTAGACAGTCGTTTCGCCCTATTGTGCGACTCCTCAGCAGTGCTTTTAGTCTCGCGAGCGAACATTTAACCCAACTGGACCACTGAACCGGCCGGTATCCAATTGTGGTAATGTCTAACCCTGAACGAATCCACGAAATTGCGCAACCATCTCCCACTGTACTGAAGTAGATACTTGTCTCTACCCAACGCGGATTAAGTCTACTGGTCATGGTTTCTTACTAGAACTCCGAGTATTCTCTCACGAATCTAGTCACTAGTGAGCATATGGTAATTATCAGTATAGGGGTTGTGAAGACTATTTCATTCTCTTCTTTTTTTCTACTTTTTATGCAAGTAATTGAGTAATAAATCAACATGTTTTTCCCTTCTTTTATTTGATTTACATTTAAGACATAGTATAAATGAATCTGAAGGGAAAATGAGATTATATAAGATAGAAGAGAAAAAAAGAAAGAGTAACCGAAAAAAACGACGACAACAACAACAACAGAAAAGACACTTGTTTACGAGTTTCTTTTTATTATCGACTATAGAAATAAATGATAGTCACAACCAGTATACATATATATGATTTGAATGAATGATCTAGTGAATGGAAAAACAGTTTCCATGTTAAATAAATATCCGTTCGTTCGATCGTTGAACCAACCAACCAACCACCCACCCATCCACACACCTACCCACTCACTCACTCACTCACTCACTTACTCAGCAACCCACCAACCCCCTCCCATCTCTAATATAAATTCGATTTCTTTCACAAAGATAACAATTTTACAAATTATTCTGTATATATTTCTCTTATTTTTCTTCTTCTTCTTCTTCTTCATTCATCTTAGCTATATCCATTTTTAAAAAAATAAGGAAACAAAAGGAAACATAGTTAGAGTTGTTTTCTACTTTTATCTCGTCGTGATTTTTTTGTTTGTTTGTTGTTTCGTTGAAAACATTGAAATGACTGGTAGATTATACATGATAAAGTTTTGTTCTTTGATTTGGATAGTTTTTATACTGATGATATCGGTCAGTAGAATGATGAAAGTTTCACAATCAAAGCCATCCAAATTCAAAGAATAAAACTCTATCACAAAATCATTCGTATTTGAATGACAAAAACTTCTCGACTATCCTGAAAATAAATTTCTCATTATGAGATGGGGAGATCTGATTGAAATCATGAATTGGTAAATATTAGACCAGAATTGAAAAATTGAAAGTCTTGAATGGCCGTTTCATCCTAATATATTATCTATATAAGTGTGTGTGTGTGTGTAGGAGGAGGAGGAAGAGGACTCATTCACAGTCACACTACTATTACAAAACCAAAAAGTAATGAATAGTTCTTTAGTCTTGTTCTCATGAATGACAAACTTTGATATTTAATTGCTGGGATTCTAGTAAGAAGCAGTAATTAGTAGAGTTCAGTCATGTTGAATGTAAGACAATTATCTACCTAAAGCAATAGTGAATAATCATCCACCATTTTGAGTTCATTGAAGTAAGACATATACATCATTGGATCTTGGATCACTAATTTAGAAGTTAAGTATTTATGAATGAGATTGTGAATGTTCACTGTTAACAAGCTATATACTATAATAAAAAAGCTGTCCAGTATTTTCTAATGTCCATTGGTTATCTAACTAAGATCAGTCCGTTACTTAATTAATTAGAATAATAATTGTTAATTAGCTTTATATCAACTTATTTCAATCAGCTCCAATGATTTCATCATTTTCCAATAATAATAATAATAAGATATATCAGGGTTAGAATAGAAGGAATGAGACTAGAAGTCGGATTCAGGCTCACATTTCATCACGTGGCTGCACCTCTGGTGAGTGATACATTAAACCAAGCATGGTTTCCATGGATAATGAATATAAATCACCCCCACTGTGGTGAAAGAAGTGAGCAGTGGTGTTTAGATTGATTCATAATTCTATTGGTGAGATGGCCAATGACGTTTGTGACTTTAATAAGGGTTTGTTCAAGGGTTTATTCCTAAGGTAAGTAAGGCCTTTGTTTTTTATCATTAAAGGATGCTACCTGTGTGGAAGCATGCAATGCACACGCCTAACGTGCAGAAATGTAAACCGAATACTACCCAGTTATGTATGTATACCTGTGTACATACATTTGTCAGTAATGTAATTCCCCTCGCTCCTTAACATTAGTTGGAAAATAACTGTTGTTTCAAATCACTCTGAGTTTCCTCAGCATCTATAACACATTGAAAGAATAGATTATAATGCTTGTAAATCAAGGCAATATCGATGCAGTACTCACAGTATGCACATATGCCAATAAGAGACTGATCAATTTCAGTCCTGAACATCAATGGGAAGATTCAAGTAAGACAACACCAAGTGAATTAAACTTCACCCCATTTCACTAGCAAGTGGCTATCAGGACTCAGTAGCTAAGTGGATAACGCGATGGCGTTAGAAGTGAACGATACTGGGTTTGAGTCCCAGAGTGAACATAAACTCAGATGCAGGTACATCCAGCTGACGAGTACCAAATAGGACGAAATGCACGTCCTGAATTCCACTACTAGCCACTTTCCATCTTTGCTTATAATAGATTTGAACTATCTTAAACAAACTTTCGAAAATCTAGTGTAAAATCTATTCTACATTAAAGACACTGGCTATAGAAACTACCTAATTTTATTCAGCGAAAGTTATAATGTTCTTAAGTATCATTTGAAATTACCAGCTGTCATGTGTTGTATCAATTAAACAATACAGAGAAAGAGAAAGGGAAATAGTGTTGGCTAACTAACAAGACCAGAAGACAGCGTTAAAAGGTTAAACATTGTGGAAGAAATTTTTCCTAAGGTTAGCTGATTGATTTGTTCGCTTTATATCTATCCGATCAATGATCTCCTTTTGATTAATAACTCAGCTATCATGAAAAACGACTGGGGGGGGAATCTTATTGTCTATTAGTACATAAGCTATTTCAGTCCAGTATCCAATTATAAGATAATGACAGCAAGGAAGTTAAGCTCTCTATCTATCTATCTACTCTACTTTACTCTATTTTTAAACTATGAAAGCTAAATGGTATGGCTTCAAATCATTCATGGAATACCAATTTTATTACGACAAGTGCTAAATAGTCACTTAAGTTAATGGCCAAACTGCAACTTGATTAATAGAATTCGATCATGATAATTAGTTATTTCAGGGAGACTATGATTTATGAACGAACCAATCAGGTATAAGATACTAAGTCTCGGATTTTGGCGCGAAATTCACTCATCCGTTTAGTGAAATACTGTTTTGGCATTATAGCTGATGTCAGTTCGTGATGAAAACCCTAAATACAATCTTTAACATTAACCATCAAATGTAAATGATAATTCTAACTCGTCACACTGGTTTATAATTCTCATTTAGTCTTAGATATTAGATGGACACTCTGAAGATCAGTCTATCATAGCTCAAAGGTCATCCATAAATTATAATCTCACTCCGAACTTTGAACATTGAAGGTTGGTTGAAATTAGATATTAAGACCGTTGGATGCCGGTCAGCTAAGTAGTGTAGAAGTTAAGCGCTCGCGTAAGAGACTGATACGTCCTGAGTTCGAACCTCGCTAGACGGGATCATGGATGCGCACTGCTAAGAAGTCCTACACTAGGACGAAATGGCCATCCAGTGCTTTCAGGTTTTCCATAGTAGTCTAACTTCAATTGACTCATGATCTCAATCATTGAAATTACTATAAAACGTTTGTTGACTACTCAAATAACTCTTTAGTTGATATCATTTCTTAATGAAAATTAACATGAAATTGTAAATGATCTTTTCAACAACAACAACAACAACAACAACAGGAACAAGAAAAAGAATAATTAAAACAAAACAATCTTTATTTAGTCAATGTGTATATCCTGTATGTATGTGTATGTGTGTGTAGTATATATGTATGTGTGTGGTATGTAAGCATATTCAGGAAATAACAACACATTAACTAAATAAAATAACACTAAACTTTTGCATTACACTGTACTATCTCTCTCTCTCTCCCTCTATTTATACTTTTTTTTCTACTCTTCATTTCATGTCAGTTGGCAACAAATCAAGGTGAAGTTGTGTTTTTTTTGTTGTTTTATCATTTAAAGAATCCGTGAACAACATGAATGATGTTTCTATGTGTTGTTTTTTTAGCTTTATTTATTCTACAGATTATGTTTTTTTGTTTATTTTCTTTCATCATCCCTATTCTTTATTACATTAATATTCCTTTTTCACTTTTAAATGATTCTTTACTTATTTGTGAACCAGTTTCCTTTAACAGAAAAAAAAGCACAACTGTATTCTCTTATTAATTGGTACTCTTAATACAAATGATAATGGGATTATATCAATAGTCTAATGTTGTTTCCAATGGTTTGTTTGTTTGTTTGTTTTCTTTCTATTTTCATTTATTGTTTTATTTTTACAAGATCTTTTTGTAATGTATATGTTTTTTTCCTTTTCTTTTTTCTTCCCTTTCTGTCCTCCTTCACTCTCCCTCTCTCACTCCCCCCTCACTCTTCCCCTCTCATTCCTCCCTCACTCCCCCCTCACTCTCCTTCTTTCTGTTTTTATATTTTTTTTTGTCTTTTACAAAAAAACACATACACATATTGGCAAATATATAGAGTAAGGGATAGTAAGAGTTATATTGTAAGTTAATATTTACCACCTAGAACCTCGGTTTTCTTTGCCAAATGTATATATGTATATATATATCATTTAATCAATTCCAATGTTATATGAATATTAGTATCAGTAATAAATAGATAATGTAGTACCAGGTTTTCCATGGTGGTCTAACTTCAATTGACTCATGATCTTAACCATTGAAATTACTATAATATCCACAAAACCTATCTGATATTAATTAACATATGCCCACTAGTGACTGGTTTCAAGAGGTATATCCTGGAGTTTTAGTGAGAAGTTCAGCCAGGTCTGTTTTGAGATAGTGACTCATTGAAGACAATGGTGGATATGTCGCTCAATTTGGTGGATTAGTTGAAGTTATACATTAACACCGTCAGATGGAGGCCAGATCAGTGGCCTAAATGTTGAGCGCTCGCGCTCGAGATTGATACGTCGTGGGTTTAAATCTCATGATGCACTGCTGGGGAGTCGTACAATAAGACGAACCAGCCTTCCAATGCTTCCAAGTTTTCGATGGTGGTCTAGCTTCAATGGACTCATGACCTCAACTATTGAAAAAGATAAGAGACAAGATAGACCAGATAAGATAAAGTAAAGAAAATTGTCCTGTCTTTAATCGAATAGATTTAGCCATTGTTTAAAGAAAAGTTAATCAAATTGAAGGAATCATTTTATAAAAAGTTTGGTGGTGAATTGCAAGGAAATATAGAATAGACATTTTTTTCTTCTTACTTGGGACTTACTAATCAAATTGCGAAGTAAATGATGTTAGTCTTGGTGTGACTATTCCCACTAGTATCAAGGTACATTCATCTGAAGAATGCTAAATAAGACCATTTTGTTGAGATAAGATGGTGGTTGGAGGTAGTCAACAAGGAACTCTGGACCCGGGTTTCGTGCTACTACTACACACATGACATTGATGATCACCCAAATATCAATCAATTGTGATTACATCTCAGTCCCACACAAGGTCGGTCGTGGCCCAGATAGCTCAGTGGTAACGTCTCTGACTGTGAAGCTGGGTGACACGAGATTGAGTCCGTCAGGGAGCACCGGTTCCCTCAAGATTACAGGTACACCTTGCTGACGAGTGCCAAATGGAACGAAACCCATGTCCAGAGTTTCTTGTTGACTACCTCAAACCACCACCTTATCTCAACATAGTGCACGGAATGTCGAGTCACCTAGACTAGTAGCCACATTGAAACTTGATCGATAGTATTCGATCTGCACTAAGAAGGACTTGATATACACGAAATTGATCACCACCCACTGATCAATCAATTGTGAAGACCAATTTGTTCTAGTATTAGACTACCCAGAAGTGCACATTCATAATCCTATGAGAAATCCTACATTTGATCTATGGTAGAGTTATGAATGTGAACAATTTAATAGTCCAACACTAGATTGGAACAACTGTCTTGTACATCCTGCTTGTCAGTGGTTGTCTAAGTTAGATCAGTCAATGATGTAAACTCAAAACTTTATCTGCAACTAGTATAATTGTAATGAACAATGTAAACAAGTGAATTAATCATACTTTCATTCATCTAAGTAATTAATCTTAGCACTTTATGATTTAGTCAACGTTTTACCCATCCATCTGCATAAAACTATTTTACATGTTCGTGTATTTCCAATTATTTTTTTCGCAAAATATAGATAATTAAAGTTACATCAAATTGAGATGATGAATCGATCAATGATAAATGACTATTTTAGACCTGGAATCACTGGACAGCCGTTTCGTCCCAGTATGGGAATCGTCAGCAGTGCATAGCCCTAATCTCCCCTCACGTGGATTGGTTGAAGTTAGACATTAACACCATTGGATGTCGACTCAGTAGTCTAAAGCTTAAGCATTCGCGTTCGAGACTGATAGGTCCTGGGTTCAAATCCCGAGGGGCAGGATCGTAGATACGTGTTGTTGAGGCGTCCCACAATAGGACGAAATGGCCGTCCAGTGCATCAAGGTGGTCTAGTTTTAATTTACTCATGATTATGGTTCAAAATAATGAATATAGATTCCTCAGTAACAGTTCACTGATACACGCCCAGTTGAATAGATTATTAGTATAATGGAGGAAATTTGTTAATAATCATGTCGAATGAAACTGACCCCCTAAATTGGTATGTATAGTTTGATCAAATAACACAACTTAAAGATATCGATGAATAAATATCCAAAGACCCAATAACAGGTTAGCAAGAAAGAGTTAATAGACATTACATTATGACAAATATATGGAAGAATTAATACAATATGGTAAATATCACTTAAAATACAAATGATTATAAGTAGGGGAGTTCAACAGGTCAATTAACAACTATTACCAATGAAATTTAACTATACATCTGATTTACTTTTTATCTCATTAACTAAATTGTAACTTATTATCAAAAAGGGTTTGGTGGAGATTTTAGTAACTTTACAGTTGAATTCATGATTCAATTAAGGCTAGACCACCATGGAAAACCTGGATGCACTGGATGGTTGTTTCATCCTAATACGAGACTCTTCAGTGACAGTGCGCATCCACGATCTCACCCTGTGAGATTCGAAGCCAGAATCTACCAGTTTCAGGCGCGAACGGTTAACCTAGTCAGCATTCAACAGTATTTATTTTATTTAAACACATAAACATTGGTACAAGGAGGCACCAAATACATATGCGCCACATAAATCATTCGATTTGTGTGGGGGCTGGGATACTGCACGGGTGCCCAAACCGAAGCAGGTGGTTTTCTTAGGGGGCTACTCCTCGAGCCTTCAACCTGAAAATCTGATCCACAAGGCAGTGGAGCGTCGTAATGAGATGCATTCCTTTGGAAGCCGGTGACCAACAATTGGTTTATACGCTATTTGTTCCCGCAGGATACTGGAGCCCATGTGCACCATTGGTTTGGAATGTGGTTAAAGCGTCGGACACTCGTTTTTCGTCCTCTTATTTCCGTAAACAACACCCATGATATGAGAAGGCAGTGAGTGGGACTTCCCTGGCAGAGGCTGTATACGTGGGTTCACCCTACTCTCGGCCATACCAGGGCATTTGGGGGCAGTGTCAATGTCTATCTTATGTTTTGATTTGTTCTTCCTCTTTTTTGTAATTGAAATATATTTTCTACACATAAATATCATTGTTTTCTCTAATCCCCCTCCACCCCTTCCCCCTCCTTATTTATATTCTTTCTTTGTATCTAGGTATTTAGCTGTAACACAACCAATAATCTATGCAAAACATAATAATATGAAACGTGTACAAATATCTATTGCATTAGTATGGATTGTATCATTCTTAATAGCTATACCATTAATATGCGGTTTAAATGTAAATCGTTATAATGATCCAACTATATGTCAATCATTTAATGCCTTATATATTATATGTTCATCATTAGGTTCATTTTATTTACCAGCTATTATATTAATTGTTGTTTATCAACGTATATTTGCTTTAATTAAACAACGACATAAATTATTACGATTAAATCAATCATTAAAACAACAACCATATACATCATCATTACAACAATTACAATTACAAAGAAAACAATCAAGATTACATGAAGATGATGATGATGATGAAGAAGAGGAAGAACAAGAAGGACGGGTAGTAGAAGAAGAAGAAGAACAACAACAACAACAAGAACAACAATCGATTGTTCAATTATATGATCGTATTTGTTTAAATAATGATCAAACTATATCTACATTATATCGTACAACAACAACAACAACAACAACAATGACAACGACAACAACAACTACTACTACGACGACTACTACAATAATGAATTCAAATGATGAAATTAGTTATTCTGAATTACAATCATCTTCACCAATCAAAGTAATAGAATACATAAAACAACATGATCCAGAACATAAACAATTTACTAATGAATTCGATGAGAATTTCTCGGATGTAAATTTTGAAGGACCACGTTATGATATATCATCACCAAATTTAAATAATTCTGATCGATTCGTTTCAATAATGAATTATACCTATTCAATGGATCATTTGAAATTAACCAATCAAAATAAAAGAAGTCATTTCAATGAAAATAATAATGATTTATTAAATAATCAATTGAATCAATTATATCATTCTGATATAGATTTAAATACAATTCAATCAATGGAATCACCTAAACATATATTGAATAATTCAAATGATGTATCACTTATATCACCATATACCAAAGACGATGACGATGATGATGATGACGACGACGATGATGATGATCATGAAGATGATGTTAATGAATCTAGGACTACATTTCAATGTGGTTATCTATATAATATATCACCTTCTATACATTCAGAAGAAGAGAAACAATCACATACAGAACAAAAACAAACTACTCATAATTCTCCAATGATATTAAAAGAAGTCATTTGTAATTCAAAGAAACAATCAAAATCTTCTATGTTGTCATTTGAAAAGTTTAATTCATATTCAACACAGAAATCTTCTTCTTGTCATCATCATCATCATCGTCGTCATCATCATCATCATCATCACGACCATCATCATAACTTATCTAAATCAAATATTAGAAATCTATTCAAATTATCATGGATTCATAAGTGTTTAAATCATTCACATGTATATAATAGTACTTCATCATCAAATAACTCGGAATATTCATGTCCTGGACTATGTTCAGAAGAGATGATAAATTATAGGATTAAATTAAATAAAGGTCAGTTTTTCAACAACTATAATGGTGATGAAGAAGAAGATAATGATGATGATGATGATGATGATGATGACGATGATGATTATGATGATGATGATGTTGACGACGACGATGAAGACGATGATGATGATGATGATGATGATGAAACAGTGAATGGATTAACTTCATGTAAATTTTGTCAAAATCAATTAAAATCAAATTCATTCTATCAACCATATGAATGTATTCAATGTCAACCAATTATATTTCAATATAATTGTCAATCATTTAATCAAAATAAATCTATTCCATTACAAAATAATCATAAAATAAATTGTTGCCATAGTAACGGATTGCTGAATAAAACTCATGAAAAAATCAATAAGAAAAATATGAAAAATTCAAAAAATAAATTCAAATTTAAATTTTCCCGCGATAAATTTCAAATTCAATTCAATGATCAATTTAAACAAAATATACAAGATTTTATGAAATATTTAATTAGATTATTTAAATTTATTCATTATAAAACAAATATAAATGATCCTATAAATCATAATCATAATCATCATCATAATAATAATAATAAAACAATGACAACTAATTCAATTCTACCTATTGATATCGATATAAGTAGTGGTAAATCAACCCAAAAAACGTTATATAGTCAAAGTCCTATATATAAAACAATAAAAACTAAAAATATTCTATCAAATAAAGAGAAAAAAGCAACAAAAACATTAGCTATTGTATTAGGTAAGTTCATTTGCCTAGTAACAATAAGATATTTGGATATATAGTAACTAGAATTGAGTTACTATCTCATAACAGATCTGGTTGATGATGACTGAGAAGAGTAAAGGTTAAGGTTAAAAGGTATTGAATTCGACACTATTATTTATTGGACAAATCAATTAGAAAGGGTTTGTAGAGATTTTAGAAATTTCACAGATTGAAATCATGAGTCAATTGAAGCTAGACCATCATGGAAAACCTGGAAGTTGAAGTTAGACATTCAGACCACTGGATGCCGGACGGCACAGTGGTCTAGTTGGTCAAGCGCCTGGCGCGAGACTGATAGGTCCTATGTTCGGATCTCGCGGGATGCGAGATCGTGGATGCGCACTGCCACTGAGGAGTCTCATACTAGGACGAAACGACCGTTCAGTGCTTCCAGGTTTTCCATGGTGGTCTAGCTTCAATTGACTCATGATTTCAATTTGTGGAATCAACTAGATTTAGGATAATAGATCTTGGATTTCGATGTGAAATTTATTCATCTATCGGGTTAAATAGCGTTTTGGCATTTAGTTGATGTTAGTATATGATGAAATTCATAAATCTAAATCCTAATCCTTACCATCAACTGTAAATCATTATCTTTATTCTTTAAACTCCTTTATAATCTAGTCTTATTATGTAGGTAGATACTCTCGGGGTCACTTTGGCGTCGCCTAAAGATCATCCATAAATTATAGTCTCACCAGATTTGTATATAGTGACTAGAAGTGAAATCTACGATTCATATCTCATCGCATTTGGTTCATATAGATTAGATGATGATTTGATGGAGGTGGAGGGTTAAGATTAAGATGACATTTGTATCCTGCATTCTACTGTTAGTTGACTTTAATGAAAACTTGTGGAAACATTGCAATATCGATGTGATTGACTCAGAATGCATAAATACATTAATAGAGATTAGTTGCAGCTCTTCTTTACATTTATAAATGTAATATACGAACCCTTCCAAATTGCTAGAAACCTAACTTTTTCTTATTACAAGGTTATACTAGGCTAGACAATCATTAAAACTAAGGAGAATTGGAAATTTTGCCAACATCCAACAGGAACTCCACATCAAACTGTTTTAATGTGCTTAAAAGTCATAAGTTGAATACATCTATATTGTTTGAATGAGTATAAAATGACAATGGACAGTACTACCGCTTTAAATGTTACTTCAAAACCTATCTACATCAGTAATTTGTCTGATCATTGAAAACTGAGTGTAATGATCACTTCATTTAGCCTAAGTGTTTTGTTGACCCAGATAGCACAATGGCTGAATAAATCTCGATATTAACACAAAATGAGATTGGTTGACATCAACATTTGGCATTTGTAGAATTAGTGAAATTTCTGTCTACATACAAGGAGTTCGTTCAGTACTTCTTCATGGCTGGGAAGTCTACCAGTCGAAAGTAAATTACGTGAGTACGTCGCTAGAATGGTAATACAAAGATCTTTCAGCATTTGTTAGAATACGGATAAACCATTATGTAAGTTATCTTAAGGTCACGCATAAGAATACGCCATTGAGTCGAACAACTAAACCATAAACCCTTTTCAATTTAAAAGGGTAAGATATATGACATATAGGCAAACTGTCATTGCTTTTGATGTATTAACTAATGACTATATAAGTGTATGAAAGAAAGCTGAATACGGTCAGACTAAAGGAAAACATCAATTCCCGGCTTTTTTAGTAAGTTCACGTGGCAATTGAAGACCTTATTTAAAATAGCTCAGTATCAATGGCATAGGTACACAGGTATGAAATCTTTATCTTCAAAACGATTTCCAGTCTTCGTATTGTTTCACTATCTATATTCCTCATTTTCATTGGTTATCATATCCATGAACTACTGGTATAATATTTGTCGCGAAGCCTGGATATTCTGGATTCGGTTAAAAGGTTTGTATGTGAATTTCACTGTTGTGGAGTTCCATGCTAAAAAGAAATAGCTATCCAATACTCTCTGATTTCTAATGGCATTCAAGTTAAGATCAAACTGTTATGAATATTGTATACTAATTAAACCAGTGCTGACAAAACCTCTCGAAATGAACCAGATTTTCAATGATTTTCTTTTCTATCATCACTGATATTACATTTATCTTGACTTGTTCGTCTTTCTCAATTGACTGAAACGAAGAGTAAGAATTTGAACCAGTTTCGCTGTCATCTGATTTCTTAATCAAATTAGACAAATGTATTAGAACAAGATAATCAAACAACAGTGTAACTAACTTCTTAGTTTATCATATGTATATTCAATTAAACAAGCTTCAGTGAAACTTTGAATCTGGAATGCGGTCATACTTCATTACTCTCATTGATCGACGTTCTTCAAAATCGAAATTCTATAACCAAAATTCTATTGTCAACCCCTCACTGTGGCAAAGGTTTATATCCATAAGGGAGAATTAGTTCTCTCAAACTGTAAAACACGCCTTAATGGGAAGTTTAGACTACAGTTTAACCTTAACGTAGTATGTTTCATTGACTGTCTACATACAACTAAAGTTGAAAACTCATTACCAATTTCATGGTTTTTCATCATTGAATAACCTGATCTAAACACCCAATAGAAAAATGAATGCACTTGATTCCTCAATACTCCATATCGATAGCTCTGTTGCTGATCAAACTTAGGTCTATCAAAAAGGGCCTACTAAGTTCTTATCTATCAGTCTTTATTCATAACTTCAATCAACTCATTATATAGTGAGACTATAATATATGGACGACCTTTGAGCGATGCTAAAGTAACCTTGAGAGTGTCAACCTACTTACAAGGGCTAAGTGAAGGTTATAAAGCAGTTTGAAGAATAAGGATTATGATTTATAGTTGATGGTTAGATTTAAGGTTTTCATCACGAACTGACATCAGCTATAATACCAGGATTTCATTTAGTCAAATAGATGAATGAATTCTGCGCCAAAATACAAAACCTGTTATTGTCAATCTGATTAATTCGTCCATAAATTATAGTCTCGCCAGTCATAGATTCATATTAGAACACTTGGAATCATATCTTATAATTAATCACTAATGGAAACAAAACTCTTTATATCATTCATAGTTACTATTCATAATTTGATTGTATACATTACAATTACAAAAAAAAACATATTGATTTTCTTTTTTTTCTTTTTTTCTTTTTTCTTTTTTTTCTCTTTATTTTAGGTGTTTTTCTAGCCTGTTGGTTACCATTTTTTTCTATTAATATTGGTTTAGGTTTATGTATCTATTTAGGATCAGATCAATATGGTCTATGTGAATATGCTAGTAAATTAATGTCATCATGTACATGGCTTGGTTATATTAATTCGGCATTAAATCCAATTATTTATACAATATTCAATATGGAATTTCGTTTAGCATTTCAAAAACTATTACATATCAAATAATAATAATGATAAGGGGGAAATGAAAGTGAATTCGAATAGATGACTGTAATTGTATATTCTCTTTGGATGTATATATAGATACATAAAGTGGAAATAATCAAAAAAATGATAGAAATTACAAGTGAAGTATATTTTCTATTGAAACTTGGAGGGGGTGTGGGGTGGGGGTGTTATAAGTAAAGATGGATAGTGACTAGTAGTGGAATCTAGGTTGACGCATGTTTCTGTCCTATTCGGTACTCGTCTGCAGTTGAATATGTCTGTATCTCAGATTTGATGTGTCACTCTTAGATTCGAACTCAGTACTGTTCGCTTCAAACACTATCGTGTTATCCATCTGGTTATATTAATTCTGCATTAAATCCAATTGTTTATACAATATTCAATATGGAATTTCGTTTAGCATTTCAAAAACTATTACATATCAGATAATATCGGAAGGGGTTTGTGGAGATTGAAGCTAGACAACCATGGAAAACCTAGAAGCACTGGACGGCCGTTTCGTCCCAGTATCAGACTCCTCAGTATCGCGCATCCACGATCCCGCACTCCGCGAGATTCAAACCCAGGACTTATCAGTCTCGTGCCAGGCGCTTAACCAACTAGACCAACGAGCCGGCACCCAATGGTGTTAATGTCTAACTTCAACCAATCCAATATCAAATAATAGTAAGGAGAAATGAAAGTGATTTCTAATAGATTACTGTAATGCGGGTGTTTGGCGAGGATGGAGGTGGAAATAAAAAATGCCATGATGTTAAGTGATTTTATTATATGTTTCGTAAAAAGTTATTTTTGTATAGTTCAAAGAGAGTTAACGAGAAAGTCATTGGTTTAATTGGTGTAAAACCATACTCCTCTGTAATCAAGTGATCTTGCCTACTGTCGACATATCAAAGATTGAATTCACAAAATTATCTTCACATATTCCTGCTAGGTTTGAAGCGGTTACGAGTTCACTTAGACTGCAAACGGAACAAAGACTCAGTGACCAAACATCAATAAAATAGCTACTCTGTTGCGTCTCAACCCCGCTAACTAGAGAAGAAAGTCGAAGTCCGAACGGGGAAGTATATTCCATAAAAACTCCGGAAGCACTAGTGATAATAACAGACACAAATCAAAACGTATATACACAGCACAAAACCATCCTTGGGGAGAGTTAGAAAATAGTATACTAAAAGACACAACGAACCAATAGTATTAAAGATTCCTCCAAGTGGGAAATACGACCTGAAGTTGAAAAGAACGCTTTTTGTATGAAAACAAAGAAATTCAAATTTTCCAAATAAAATTGAGGTCGTTTCCCAAGTGAGTTCTGTGGGGTCTAACGTCCCCAACAGTTCTAGATATAGGATTTCCTATTGGTTGCTTTTATTCACTTAAGTTACTTTTTCTTTAGATTGACCAACATTGGAAATATGAAAGCACTGGACGTCCGTTCCATCCTAATATGAGACTCAGTAATGCGCTTCTACAGCCCCGCATCTGAACTTTTGGTCTTGTGGGCGAACTCTAGACCTTAAGTTTTCAATACTCCTTCGAATGATATTAAAGATATGATGAAATGTATATGCAGACTTTAGTGTTAAGAGATTGATAATTTCACATGATCTATTTTTTGACTCGAGAGTAGAGTTTAAAACTGATTCATCGGTTATCACCAGTTAAGGTTATTTTTGTGTTATTTATATTAGTATCAGAAGGGGTTTTGTGGATATTATAGTAATTCCAATAGTTGTGATCATGATTTCATTAGAGCTAGACCATCATGGAAAACTTGAAAGCACTGGATGCGCACTGCTGAAGAGTCCCACAATAAAACGAAACGGTTGTCCAGTGCTTTCAGATTTTCCATGGTGATTTAGCTTCAATTTACTCATGATCTCAACTAATGGAATTATTTGTATATTACTTAAACATTTTTTAAAATGTAGTCAGTAGATTGGATAATTTGAGATAATGATAAATTTTTCATTATTGTGTTATTGAATTAGTGTTCTAATATACAGTTTAAAAGGTAACTTATGCTTTCTAAACTTTTTATATCAATATACTGACTAATGTGTTATTTAGTTACTATTTATTAATGTCCCATCCCATACACTGACAAGAACTTTAAATTGAATACATTTGACCAGTGAAGCTTATCCTTGTCGAGTGTGAAACAGTTACCTACCAAAGACAATGTCGTGGATCGGTTAAAGTTAGACAATAATAGCACTGAATTCTGACTCAGTGGCCTGAAGGTTTAGCATTCGCGCACGAGACCGAAGGTCCTGCTTTTGAATCCCAGATGCGGGACTGTAGAGGCGCATTACTGAGTCTCATTCTAGGATGGGACGGACGTCCAGTGCTTTCATATTTCCAATGTTGGTCAATCTAAAGAAAAAGTAACTTAAGTGAATAAAGGCAACCGATGGGAAATCCTATATCTAGAACGTGTGAAGATAATGTTGTGAATTCAATCTTTGATATGTCGACAGTAGGTAGAATCACTTGATTACAGAGGAGTATGGTTTACATCAGTTAAATCAATAACATTTTCACTAACTATTAACACAAATACTCTTGAATAATGACCATACTGCTCCCCTTACCGGCCAGTTAGAACACTAAGTCAGTAATCAATTGACGTACAAAATCCTATGAGCTTATAGTTCAGATGTCACTGCGATGCACAACATAGAATAAATCATAATTTGAACAGAAACAGGTGATACTGAACAAAATGGCAATACCGCTGACAAAAATGATAATAGTTAATAAATGAAACGACAGCTTACGATAAGATCATTATTTTAAAAATACTATAAACCAAGTAGCGAAATCCAACTAAAATCCTTCAAGTAGAACTGCTGGATATTTAGAGAAACCTTGCTAATTAATTTGAGCGGTCGGAGGAGATAGGATTAATTCAACACCACTGTAAACCGGATTAACTGAGTTACAGATTCAGAACTAACTGAAGTTTTGCATTCTTCCTGATGTACATGAATTGCATTGAGTCTTGGCTTGTGTAGTTTATATATGTGGATATTTCCGAAAGGGTACGCGCGTGGGTTAGCTCGAATAATGTAAGCTGACAAAATATCTGCACTATATCTATTAAAATCGAGAACCTAATCCTTCAGGTTGAAGACATAATAAGAATAATCTGGGAGCAAATACTAGGAAGAGGTACCCATCAATTCTCCCTGAAAGAGTGCTTATGTTTATATGTATATAACGAAATGCAGCGCTTAAAACCTTTATACCAGTGATTTCCTTGTAATGTGTAAGTGACAGTCAGTTGTAGAAAATACATTAGTAGGGAATGGTGACTCATCATTCTCCTAGGTGGATGAATCTATTTGTATTAATGCTATGGAATCCATGAGTGAAAACTTATGTGTTACCGGTGTTCATGTATTGTATATTTGCGCTCAGAGTTAACTATACCTATGTGTGTGTCAAAGGATGGATAAATGAAAACTTATGTGGTACCGCAATACATATATAATTGCCCCTGGTGCGGTTTATGCGCTTTACAACTCGGTGGTATCGAGGTGGGTTTAAGGGCCTTGTAAAATGGAGTCTACTTCTAGAAAAGTCAATCGATTTCAGAGGATAAGGCTTGACTAACCTTAACACTGCTGGAAAATCGCACTATAAAACCATAGTATCCTGAGTAATTTCGGTAATCAAACAAGAACCGGCGTTTTCAAAGTTGTATGGTCCCTGACAATTACAGTTTGACTCAAACTATACATCAACACAACACGAATACCAACTAATTAACTTCAAGTACTTAATGTTCAATGAATTTTCATTATATTAGTTAATTCTCAAATGATAATTAATAAATTTGATAATTTCTGAAACTAATAATCATTGAGTTCATTCAATGAACTCGAGTGTAATTCCGAAATACACTGGAGTCTCTATCATATAAATCTTCTTCACAATATTTACAGTTAGGTTAGGTTAGAGTGAAAGAAAGAAGAAGTGTTATTCAACACATCTCTGTGATCAGTGAGCATATCCACATGAAAATAGCTTTCATATTGTTTAGTGAAATTTGATTTTCTAAGTTAGTTGAATTTAGACATTAATACCGTTGAACGCCAGTCAACTCAGTGATATAGTTGTTAAGCGCTCGCGCACGAGACTGATAGGTCCTGGGTTCAAATCCCAAGAAGCGGGATCGTGGATGCGCATTGCTGAGGAGTCCCGAACTGGGACGAAACGGCCGTCCAGTACTTCAAGTTTCTCCATAGTGGTCTAGCTTTAGTTGGCCCATGATCTCAACCAATGAAATTTGATTTTATTGATAAGGAGTACAATAAAAGATTTATGATTTCGAATTTATAAAAATTACGTAATAACTTATTCGGACATTGACATCAATTTAGTATTTTAACATAAATGAAACCAACTGACATCATAATTTTCTGATTAATCTGTACAGAGTAAATCGATACAAAGTCAACTTCATTGATCAAAAGTTGATCCAAAAGAAAAGAGAAGATCAAATAACAAAGGCGAAACCACATCAGATTATTTTCTTTCTCTTTTGATTGAGATCATGAGTCGATCAATATTTGATCACCATGATATTTCTGTTTAACAATTTGAATAGTTAGAATAAGTTACATTGCAAAATTACCATGGAAAACCTAAAAGCACTAAACAGCTAGATGGTGGTTTGAGGTAGTCAACACGAAATCCTGGATACGGGTTTCGTGCTGTTTCGCACTCGTCAGCAAGGTGTACCTGTAATCTTGAGGGAACCGGTGCTCCCTGACGGACTCAATCTTGTGTCATCCAGCTTTATATTCAGAGACGTTACCATTGAGTTATCCGGGCCACGACCGACCTTCTGTAGGACTGAGATGTAATCAGAATTGACTGATCACTGGGTGGTGTTTAATATCATGTGTGTCAAGTCCTTCTTAGTGCAGATCGAACGCTATCGACCAAGTTGTAATATGGCCACTAGTCTAGATGGCTCGGACCCG